CTTTCTTTCCACAGGCATCGGCAGAATCATCTTTCGTCTTCGTCTCGGTCGGAATTTTTTTTTTTTTTTTTTTTTTTTTTTTTTTTTTTTTTATTCCCTCTCTCCTCCCTCCTTTCTCCTTTCTTTTTAAGGGAGCGGAGAAAAGTCAAGCTTCGTCTTAATGTTGCTGCGGGAGTCTCAGTAAATGTCCATCTGTCTGATGCGGGTGATGCAAAAGGACATTTTTTACAAGGAGCCTTTTAACTCCGTAGGCACATAGGGACCCATTCACGGGCAGACACACACACGCGAGGAAGAAGAAGAAGAAGAAGAAGCAACAACTTTTCGACCGCTGCTTTTTAAAAGGGAGAAGCCCTTCCCCGGCCGGGACTTGCCTTCTGCCTCCTCCACCGGCTGCTAGAAGTATGTTTCCGAGGCGGACTGCACTTCAGGGAACTTCTATTTTCTGCTCGGCAGCTGTAGAGGAGCAGCAGCGAAGTTTGGAGTAACACCAAGTGATGCGGGAAAAACACCCCGAGAGCAGAAACCCCTCCTGCAGACACAACCCCTGCTGCTGCACACAGGTATAACCCCGGCGGTCGCAGATCCGCTGAGAGCCTTCTCCGCAGGATGACTCCGTGGGCCACGGCGGAGGTGCTAGCGCTCTACAAGAGAGAGGGGGGACGGGACACTAATCATAACAATTATAATAATAGCATAGAGGAGCAGCAGCGAAGTTTGGAGTAACACCAAGTGATGCGGGAAAAACACCCCGAGAGCAGAAAACCCTCCTGCAGACACAACCCCTGCTGCTGCACACAGGTATAACCCCGGCGGTCGCAGATCCGCTGAGAGCCTTCTCCGCAGGATGACTCCGTGGGCCACGGCGGAGGTGCTAGCGCTCTACAAGAGAGAGGGGGGACGGGACACTAATCATAACAATTATAATAATAGCAATAATAATAATAATAATAATCCAGCGCAGAGTTCTACGGGGGAGAAGAGTATCCTGTGGGTTTGGCTAAGGACGAAGCAGGATTTTTATTTTCCTCCTTCCCCTTCTTCCACTGCA